CGTGACACTCAGTTTGAATCCCCTATAGAAAATTTCCGTTGCACATATAAGCGAGAACTATAGTCGACTGTGACCCTCAGCTAATTTAAACGGCAAAATCAAGCTAGTGAAAGGATTTACGGTTCCGTGGGAGAGCCTGAAACCTTATGTTCAAATGGCATGCGATATATGATTTTTCTCACTAGCAAAGTACTCATTCATAGTCCAGAAAGTGTCATAAATGATTTCAGTGCTTCCAATCGCATCGTTGTCAGTTTGTGCAGTGTGCATACATACATACAGTTTAAAGATTATAAGGCTATCAACAAAACAGGTCCATACCGGATGGACCAGAAACTTTCAATTGATTAGCATACCACTTCGCTTGAAAAAAATTTCTGTTACCAAACATTTATGAGGACATGGTCGAAGCTGGCTTACTAGAAAAGCAAGTCAGCTGTGCTGATCAAGAGCATTCATTTTCTCCTGATTCATAGAGGCATGGTTTCGGGCAAGCACTGATTTGTTGGAAAGGCTAAAAGATCACCAACAAGTTAAGCCAGAGAGGGAGCAAATGTGGGCTTGAGCGCTAGTCGCAATATGTTCAACGTCAAGAAATGTTGCAAAAATTTTCTAGAATTCTTGCGGAACGATTGTCTGCCGAATATACGTAATTACGTTAGCTGTGCTGGAATTTCTTATTATAATGCTCCAGAAAACTAAACTATCAGCCATATTCTTGATGTTAACACGTTTCGGACTGCGAAATCGCGCGCGGCGAAAAAAGCGGGTACTTTCAGCCGTTACCCAACAAAGGGACCTCAGTTCGCATACTGTGTGCTACATCTGTAGTCAGCATGTCAGATAAGATTCATACCCAAAGTTCTGAGTGAATTCGAAGTGTTTGAATTTCGTCGCCTGAGAAGGACTTCTGCGCTTTCCTGAAAGATAGGAACAAGGACTCAGTTTCTAATTGTATCTAAAAACATCTATATTGTACACGATACATATCATTATTGGAACTGCGGTATTTCTCTTTGAATTCGAAGCAAAGAAAAGTTGCGACGTCGCACGCGTCTGTCGCGTTGCCGCACTTCGTTGCAACTGTTGTTCGAATTGCCCTCATATCTCCTAAACCGATACGCGCAGCACAGCTCTACAGAGTCATTTGAAAAGCAGGAGCTTAGGCCTTTGACTTGATAATCTTGGGCAAAAAGAAAACCTTCTGCAACCACTAAAAAGACCCTTGAAAGGCGCGTGCTGCACCATGTGCAGCACCAGTCCGAAACGTGTTAAAGTGAGATTTACCAAGAAAATCCGTTTCTTCTTTTTCTTATCGCTTTCGAACCGTTCATGGGTATACCATTTATACGACACTGTGAAAAAAAGAAACACTCATTCTGGTAATTCCGATATGCAAACAGCTGTAATGGAATAGGTTTGAATGTGTTTCAAACTGTACTATTGTGCCTTTATCTTTTCTTGCAATCAGAAAGTACTGCCTTTTTCACCAGTCGAATGAGCTGAATGAACACAAACATACAAACTTCGCTTCAGACTATACCTTGTCGTTGTTCTTCTCCTTAACAAAGGTAAACCGAAGTCATGCCTTGGCAAGTTCGCTGTACTCGTTGTTTGCATAAGAAAGTGTCAATAATCTACTCCCCAAGGATACTGGTATCGCTCTATAAAGCGTTTGTTCTCCCTCACCTGGAATATTGTTCTCAGATATGGTCTCCCTTCCGCAAAAAAGATATGCGTAGAGTAGAAAAGGTTCAACAACTTTTTACGAGGTTGTTGTACAGACGTGTATCACCCAGAATGGCCCCACCTGAATACCACGACCGTCTTAAGAAGCTTCATATGCAGTCTTTAACACATCGGCGAGTATTTTCGGACCTTGTATTCTGCTTTCAAGTTTTGAGGAGAGAGAACAAACTAAAAGCTAGCAAGTACTGGATTTTTGTTCCTACCAGTGAAAGGTCTGGTTCTTTTAACCTGCAATATCCAAGAATTCGACGCAGAAAATACTTACTGATGTTTAATAATGTGTTTTGTAGGGGAGCTAGGTGGCTTTCGCGACTTCCTGTTGATACCACTAGTGCAGATAGTAGTCATATTTTCAGGAGTAGACTAAGAAGACTTGACTTGTCAAGTATCGCTGAAATTGATTAGCTTTGCCTGACGGTCATAGCCTTTTTATATCTGAGATGCTGGACTTGTATTCATTTGCTTGGGATGTGCTATACGCCTGTGTTTATGGAAGGATCTCCGATATAGGCTTTGTTTCCTACCACTTTTTCTTCCAATTTTCATATTTAAAATCTGCCATTTCAGGTGCTCTTTGGTCTTATGATGGTTTGCTTTTCAATTATGGCTATAAATTATGGCTTTGACGTCTTTCGTGTGTCTCCTCACGTTGCGTCATACTTGTAATTTTGGTGTACTCGTTTTCTTCTAGTTACTAACCAGTCTCTCATCATCGTCTTAGTCCGAGTCTTTTTCGCTCAGCTATTCAGTATTCAATCATACAGCTTGCTGATTCAACCGAGTGAATTGTATGCGAATCTTTTCACCTTAGGGGTCATTGGGCCTCCCCAGCATTCCGGCTAGGCGGGGTTATGGTTATTAAACCTGTGCCAGTAGACCCGCCTGATAAGCTGTCGGTTTGCTTTTAAGATATAATACAAAGATCGTTCCGCTGGCAACGAGGGGGCATGAGTCCCATCTCCTTGGAGTTATAACTTTTGGAGTTATGAGTATCAATGCCTATCAATGCCTACATTTTTGTACATATCTAGCTATTAGCCTATCAACCTATTCAGTGCAAGCCGTTTCATCTTTCTTACATTAGTCTGACTAGGATTAGACTCGGATTCATATGATGATGTCTGCATTCGTTTATCGCTTATTCCGCTGTATTACTAACTTCCGATGTGTGTTTTGTGTGTTCTTTTTCTTTTGTTTGTATTGGAACGCCTTGAGCGTACAAATGAAAATGAAAAATGAAAATAATCTAGGCCACTTTTTAGAGCAATACATTCCCGGTTTTGCTTGGGTAATTTGTATGACAGTGAAGGAACAAGCTACTCTAGAACTTGTCGAATGGCATCTTCTCAAATGCGCTTTTATGGGAAAAATTAAGCACAGTGTTTTAACTGAATCTCATGTACGGAAAAAGTTTTACTATACTTGAAAAAGTGATCATTTTTATAAAAGAATTTTCATCGTTTCAGAATCAGTGCAATTGCGCAGCTTTTCGATCAAGTCGATTTTGACAAAGTCTTGTTAAGCCCGTAGTCATCCAATTGCCTTCATATTTTTTGAAATTCATGTAAATATGAAAAAGTATGACGAAATTTTTGGAAGATGGAAAAAAACTGAGTTTGTGCCGTTACAGAATTGTCTTTATTTAAAGCAACTCATACCTGTGAAAGTGAAAATGAAGCTAAAGATATTCCTTCATCTCTTACTCATGTATGAAGATGTAGTTTCCACTAGGTTCTCAGAGCTTTCTAAAGGGACGAAGAAAGTGTAAGAAGGCCTATGATACTTCATACTCACACTACGCTTGCGACAACATCGAAGCCAAGATTTGAAAACCTCATCCCATTATCTAGTACATGGGAGTTGCTAAATGTCTAATGAAGCGGGTCGGTGTAATGGTTTCCAAATATTTGCCAGTTTTCTCTTGCATAACACTGTTGTAAGGTGATCCGATGAGTGAGTGACGAAGCGTCCTACTCTGAATGGGGAGGAAGATGTGCGCATTCTAATGGAGCAGCGCAATTTGCCGATGTCATATGATACCCCATGAAGACAAGCTCAACGACGATTCATTGCTCTCGAGCTCTTCGAAGTCGAAGCATACGGTCTGTGTGTGTGTAATCGAACATGTTTACCCATGCAATATCATCAGCGAAAAAGAAATGGAACAAGACTTTGCAGCGCGAACTGCGCTTTCAGCTGCTCTTTCGGACGCAAAGCTATAGCACAGGAATCGTGTCTACAAGGTGCAATCGGTAGGTACTGATTTTAGTCTGTAAACTCCACAAGGATTGTGAGTTAGCTTCTGATCCTAATTACTCCCTTTTGACCAAGCAATACACTATACAGCGCAATTAGCCCTTTCATCGATTACGAACTCTCATCGAAGCTTTCGATCACAATCGCAATCAAATAGCGATTATGTAGTGGATCAGCAATGCTTGCTCGCTCCTCTCTATTTGTGTGTTTGATTGAATGAAGAACCATCGAATGCTACCGTAATCCCCTTGAGATTATTGATAGGCTCGATCGGCGATAACATGACTGGGCAAACACAAATCGCTTACGCGATTAACATTCGCAAACGATGAAAAACTGGTTATTCACATTCGTTCGAGCTCAATCAACGAGAATTGAAGGGAAAAAAACGGACTAGTGTGTTCCCAGCCACTGCTCTTCCAGAGAAGAGTGTCTCTAATTGAAAACATGGCCTAGAAATTTGGGATAGAAATCTTTGCTAACAATAGAGCTCTAAACGGATAACAGCACTATTTTGCAGCAAATCTGTCGTGGTATAACTACGGAAAAGTTATGATGTCCTCAAAATCATATACTTTTGCTGAGAGATAGGTGATGCTCTCTTTGCGCTTCGTGTCAAGAGAATTCTACCTACTTCCCATGATTACCGGCTCAAAACCAGTTCATGTTCTCATCGTGTACGAAATCTGTTAATGGTAGTTTTTTTCTTCGCGTTTCCGTCAGCTTTGCGCGGTGCACGACGACGAAGCAGTGGCGCGAACAGGCGCAAACACGCACACCGTAGTGCAAATTCATTTGCGAGCGCACAAACGCGCGAATGAGAGTGCGCCGCGGCTACCGTACTCGATCCGCCCCTTGTCGAGAATTGCCCCCACGACGAGCGCCCCCCACCAAAGAGGAGTGGACTCGACCGGGCTGACACGCTTCTTCTTCCCCTCCAACAAGCCCCTTTATTTGGCTTTAGTGGCCACTGCTCTAATTTTTTTCTCTTCATCATGGTGGACAAAAACTTCTCCATAGATATGCTTTTACAGTCCTCTGCCCTACATCAAGCCAAAGAGGTTTGTGCATGTGGTTGTTCAGCACTGCCGAGTTTTATGCTACATTGCAGGATGCGCAAGATGTGGTCAAAGAGCATGATTCACCGCTGCCCTCACATAGCGGCTACTCTTCTTCCGAGTCTGCTACATTTTCAAACACTGAGACTTCGCCAGTTACCTCCTCAGCAAATGGTGGGAGCCATGCGCATTCACTTTAAAGATCTAGTTAGATTCTCGCTTCTTATCTGTTTTTATCTTCTTTGAAGGATCTAATTATCTCATCAAAACGAAACCAGTACATGTTGCATCCATTTGTTTCATTTCCATCACCATTCATAGCTTTTCATAAGGCAGTGATTCTTGACCCTGCCGCTTATTCTCAAGTAGCTGCCAGCCTAGCTACAAAGAATTAAAGTCTTGCACAACAATAATTCGAGCAGAAGGTCAGTGTTGGCGTTTTACGATTAGATTCTTAGGCGAACACTCATTTGTCTTCTTGGTTTATTGCGTAGACTTTTGTACCTCGTTTATTAAGCACGCTGTTTTATGAGTATGTCCATGTTTCGAAATCAGAATCAGCTTAAAAAAGTTCATTGCCAAATACCGTAAGCTGCCGAGTACAGAACTATCCATGTACCATCATGCTTTAGCACTATGCTCTTGTTTTAAAGGCGCGCGGACATTCCAAGTTCGCCTCGTGAAGCTGACAAGCCTCATTGAGCTAACACTTCTACATTATTAGTCAATCAACAAAACACATAATCATTGTCTACGATTTTCTAGATTGCCTTCCCCACCTACAGAAGCACTGAGAATTTATTCGCATTACAGGTCCAGTTCACAACCCACAATGGTACAACCCCGTAAACTACATCAACTTGACGCAGCAGCTTGCTGCCCAAATCATTCAAGCTTCTCACTCAGGTCCACCCATACCTGGGCAAATGCCCCCACCCAATGGTAAGTTAGAGTTTTTTTGACAGCTAATCTAACTGCATTCATTGAAGTCCACGAAACTCCTCTCATTGCAAATCACGTTTACCTGTAAATGTCCAAAGAAGTTCCTATGAGCGACATGTATGCTTTCCCATGTACCGCTAATCAAGTAGCTCATCTACCCCCGACTTTATAGGAATAAGCAAACAAACGATTAATCTGGTTAATCCCATTAGCCGCATCGTGCAATGCTAACACAAACCGTTGTGAGTATTACACTACTATGAAGTAAATAGATGTACATCCTTAACTAATTCAATGTGTTACATCTCCATGTGCGTTTGAAAACAGGTTTATGCTACTCGCCGTTAGTAATTTCTTGGCATTTGTGAAGAATCAAACTTTTCTCAGCAAATTTTCGCAAGTAAACTAGGAATTGTTACGCTCGCTGGCCTAGGAAAGTGGATTAGAGCCACAAAACTCTACCAAGCCAAGGAAATATAGTTGAAAACAAGTGCCAATTCACTATTGTTAACATAATCGCGCGGCCTTCCTTCTTGCTGGCCATAATATGCTACGTATTACAAGGTATGGCAATTTTCAACGCGTGATTACTGTACATTCATTTCCATTTGGAGCTGTATTTTTGCTGGTGGTGCAAATACACCAGGGGGGTCCACGCTGAGGGTCGGGTTATTTTTTCTTGTGCTTTTTCGCAGCTTTCTCCGATGCTGAGGCATATTTGTGTTTGTATATGCATATATGATACGTTTACGTATCTTATCTAAAATGCCGGCCTTGAGTTGTCAATGGAAATGGTGCAGTTGCACACAGAAAAGAAACCCACTCGACTGCATGTTGATATCATCGATGATCATAACAATGTTCTTATGTTGATAATAGGATTGTCATTATCATGTTTTCAACGCATTAAGGTAAATACCTTTGGTCCCAAATTCAGTTATGCGTTTCTATATCTGGCGCTTTCATTTAGAGTCGAAATGTTTCTGAAATGTATCTGCAAAAGAGCCGCTAAATCGTTTTTTGTGTAAACATCACTCATCGAGTGTCGCTTTTGTAATGTGATCAGCGGCTTGTGGAATTTTTGTGTTGTCAACACACACTCCAGTCGCTCAAACAATTATAAGAAAGGGAGCCGCTAAGCCGTCGCCGGTCGCGCCGCTCGTTCAGCCACCCTCAACTCTAAGTGAACGAGCACTCAAGCATACCATATGCCTCCTATATAAAACCGTACAACCATATATACAACCAAAAGCAACACATATTTTGAAAGATTTTTAGATACGACAACACCTTTAAAACGAACCTACTATCGATTCATACAGATTACATGAATGTATTTCAGCCTACAGAAACGTCAACGGAATATGGGATCCATGCATCTCTTGGCTGTACCCCTATATGCAGAAAACGCAACAAAAACGCAAAGGTGGTCAGATCAGGTAATGGAAATTTTCCATGTTTTCGCTCATAAGAACTCTCAAAATATAGTTAACCCTCAGTAGAACATTTTTGGAATAGCATAGCTGAATCTAGAAAACCATGGGTTTGGGGTTTTTTTTTTCACATTAGTACTTGCAAGTATTTCGATTGACTAGTTCTAAAGATAGCTATTTTGCTTCACTTACCCTATTGCATTCACTTGTTTCACTTTTCCAATTTATTTCACCTTCTCTACGAAATAGTGAATAAAGACTAAGTGCGACAGATCTAATTTACTAAGAATCACACTATATATCTGCTATATCCTTCGCTTCCCCCCAATCTTTGTCAGTTTAGATTCACAAATGAACAAACTGATGCTCTTGAGCACAAGTTCGACTCCCACAAATACCTCAGCCCCCAAGAAAGGAAGAAACTGGCAAAGTCCTTAAGCCTAAGTGAACGTCAGGTTTGTGGCATATTTACCCTCTACCCACCCTTTTTTGGAGAACATCGTAATGTATCGCTGTTAGTGAGCTCATCAGTAGTGATGATCCGTTAATGTCGAGACGAGTATGGCCATATGCCGATAAGGGTAGTCGAGGATCCTTGAACATCCCATTGACTTAAGTTTGCAAACACTGGCTGATTGATAGCCTCAGCGAGATGAGGAACTGTTGATACTATGGAGACATTCAGCTTCAGAGTTGAATTACTTTTGAAAAGAGGGCTAGGAAGTTAGTCTCCCATCAAGAATGCGCTCTTTTACTAAATAGAATCGTAATACAATGTAAAAATGGGGGTTCTTTGCAAAAAATGAACGCCCTTCTCTCTTATGGCATAGCTACTAAAAATGACATATGTATGTCTATATCTTGTTGTGCCATGCATGCGAGAAGGCAAATGCCACACGAGATTAGTTAAGAGCCCAGAAGAACTTGGAAAATCGGCCAATTAATTTTCTAGCTTTGTAGATTCTTGGTAAAAACTTTGGAACTTCTTTCCTGTGATATCGTCACAAGTATTGAAAACAGACTCGAAGTACGTGACATACGTGATTACGTAATGCAATTCTTTTTGTAAATACAGTCGAGTAGATTTAGCGGTAAATATAGTGTGCTTGCACAGAAGGTGAAATGCGGTAAAATTGGCGCGTGAAGAAATAGTTTCGACTGTGACGCCGGCCAATTGCGCGCGCAAGATACCCGCGGTACTGACGTGGCTACTTGTTCACGCGCAAATTTCACCGCATTTCACCTTCTGTGCAAGCACACTATATTTACCGCTAAATCTACTCGACTGTACCTAGAAATGCAGTCTCTTCTCATAACATCATCGTATCACGAATAGCCACTGTCCGAAATAACTACGTGAATACTTGTTATTGTCACTGTGTGAAAAGCCCAACTTTTGGCGCTTACACAGTCAGCTGGCCTTGGGTTTTATTGCCTTCAAAGAATAATTTGAGCTTTTTCTGTTCTTTACCATGATCCAGCTAAGTCAAACTGAGTAAGTGTACAGAATAATTTCTGGTCCTCACCCTCGCACCACAAAAACACTCAGCAGTAATGTGCTAATTTGGTATGTCTTTCATTCAGTTTGGCAGTTTGGTAAGCTGCTTACAAAAGATATTTTTAGAAAGACCTAACTGATTCAGAGATGACCATAAAACACTTTTTTACGGCATTGCTGATTTCAAAATTTGATGAAGTGGAAGAGGATCGCGGCTCCTTGCGTTTTCGAGTGTATTAATAACTTCAATAGAATGGCTAAACTCGGCATCTCGATGAGCAAAGCAATTTGGAGACAAGTCGTTCCGCGTATTAAGTTTCTTATGCTGAGTAAATCAAGATTTATTTTTTATGAATATTAATACGATCTTCCACCGCGACCTGAAAAATATCACACTTCTGTACCCTCACAATATTTTTAAAAGCTTCTCAATCCGCAAATCTCTCTTTTCCTAGCAGAGGCTCTATTATGAGGCGCTTCTTCTTGCTCCACGTCAATTAGGTTATCAAAACTATAAGTGGATCTACAGGTACTTAACCGACTAATGACTGGCTAAGCCATAGCTTGGTTTGTCTCGTCTGCAGGAGCTGTCAGAATCAAGGGTCATTGGTTGGATCTGTTGACTTAACATCTCAACAATGGCGCAATAGGGTTTACCTTGAAAAGGTTGTCATATCATGTTTCGTTGGGCAAACTAGGTGCACCCTCATATAGGTGTGTCGTAATCTGTTTAATGGAAATAGAGCTTTCACTGAAAATTGCTGTACTCATATCTGACAAAAAAATACAAAACGACCATAAGGCAATCGGCTAGTTTCTTGCATTTCATTTCAAGCTTTCAAATGTTTTTCACCTCTGCTCCAAGTAAATAGTTAAATGAACACAAGGGAAATGATAACGTTCATTTGTTCATAGAAGGACGGTAACTGGTGGTTGGAGGTCAAAGTGATCTGAGTTCGTCCCTGTAGAATACGAAGGCATTCGGTATTGACCTACGATAGCCACGAATGGATAAGAAAAATCAACGGCGAACTTCGAAAATAACACCATCACTGTGACGCTACAAACTTTCAAACATTGATTTCTAACTTTGAAGTGTAAATAGCAATTTACAATGTGAAATTAAGTACGTATATCTGTGAGGTGAGCTTCTATGCGCTTTTTCCTAATTATGCGCATTTTGAAAAGAGTTTTCGCAAATATTCGATTCTGGGTTTCACAGGAAATTTCCAACGTTTTCATTTTAGTACCTGCCGTGATTACTGTATAACGAGACCATATCGAGGAGGTAATTGAATGTCACGTAGATAAGTTGCGCGTCAATGCTTTAAGAAATTCTAAGACAGTGCAGAATTTTGATATTATACGGTCATTTATTATAGAAGCATGTATAGAAGGATCACGTATGTCAATTCCAGGTGAAAACATGGTTTCAAAATCGGAGAGCGAAGTGGAGAAGAGTACGAAAGGATGGTGACGAAGAAGAAGAGAACTCGACTGATCGGTCAGCAAGATCTGTTGAGCAGCAAAGCCAAAACTCTTACTATTTTCCGACAAGAATGTAAGATTCCTCTTCAAAAAGATCATGCCAGAAATTCATCTCAGGAGTTCTTTATTTTAAAAGTTGATATCTATTTCAGTAGCTAGTCAGAATTGATTTCATTTTCAAACAAATTATGCTTGTGAACTAAGGTATATTCACAACCTTAAGATTTTCATGTCTAGACGTGATCTGTATCGTACATGTTGTACATAAATATTTTATATACATGATATGTCATTTGCCTGTACAATTACTCTCTACTAAACTGGGCTCTAAGCACATTCTAAACGCAGATTTAGGCTCAGAATATTGAAGCGATTTTTGTCCTCCCGATATTATCTAAAAGCTAAATGCTTACGTTTCCTGTATACAATTTAAGATGAGGTAACTGGGTAAAAAAATCCTATATAAGAATGGCTCATCTGTGGGTGCTGAGCTCAGCACCCTATATCGAACACTTTTGATAATCTCTGCCAACTTACTATCGCCTAAAGATCATGGTTTATGCAAATGACATAGATGCAATCACTCTAGAAACCAGGTATTCCCCAGATTTACTATACGATTACGGTAGGAAATTAAATTTGAAAAAGGAGAGTTGATGGAGATTGCATTTTGCATTGTAAATGGATCCGAACTTCAAATTTTCTCACTGAAATCAATGCAGTTGATAAAGAAATTGAAATACACACCTTAATTATTTATTTGAAAGTTACACGAGGCTCCTTTGTTCTCTGCCTTACCATTGCTTAAGATCAGAATGTTTAGTGCAAATTAGATTACTAATTATCTAGGATGGAGGTATGATGCATCATCCATTGTTAACATTCCGCATTTTTCTGCGACATTTCGGCTCTCATTTTCAATAGTCTCGCCTAATCCTCTCATATACCGATCGGATTACTTCGACAATTGCGTACGAATATGCCAAGTTGCCCTCCAGGCATTTCACTTCATCCGGCATTTTAAACTTCCCTGAGCAAGCGTTTGGTGTGTTGAAGTACTGAGCTGTATATTAGTTGCAGAGCAGCAAGAGTTTACACTTTCTGTTTCCTCCATTCGGCATTTGAAAATCGCAGATGGATTTCAGATTTTTCAATTAAACTTTTCTTAACTGCATGCCTTAAGTCAGCCATCAGGATATCTAGCATAGCATTCTACAGTAGAGGTGGTCTTTTACGGCGAACCCGTGAAGCTCATTTCTCATAAATTCATCTATCGGTAGATTCTTCTCATTTAAGAGTAGAAGTGACAAAAACCCGCACATCCAAAAAATGATTCTGAATGACTTTTAAACAGGAACTTGCATGAAATAGCTTGTTATCTCTCCGTGAAAGGATGGACCGCATACTCTAATAAGGGATCGTGGAAAGCTTCTTCGGCCATACTCTGCTCCGGCCTTCGCAATTGTGTATATTTCCAGGTTAAGTAGTTTCATGGGATAGGCAGGATTAGGGGGTTTGGCAGGATTCGTCCATAACTTCTTTCAGAGCATAAATGTTTGAAATCTGCAAGTAAATTTGAGCTCAGTTCCATAAGGAGAGCTACATCGTATTCTTCTACTTGGAGCGATCTTCTCAATGTAGGGTTTTTTGATTTTCGAGTCGTAGCACTCAGGGGAGGAGTCTTGTAACTCATCAATCCGCTCTGAGGATCGCCTGAATGGGGGAGGGAAGGGGATACACCTCAAACATAAATTTAGTATATCCTCCTTGCTTTCTATCCCGAATAAATTTCAGGCTGACTATCACACGCTTAGCTCCGTCACTCTTCATTTAACTCTTTCCTTATAGAATTTTATTTATGATAGGGTTAGTTGCAGAAGTAAGGTAGAACCACTTACTTTCCCTTAAAAAATTAAATAATTGAAATGCCTGCTTACACCGCTACTGACGGTACAGAAAGGCTCGCATCCCTCGACTGAAGAGCTTGCCACATAGTTAATATTTGATATATATTTATAAATCTCTTCGAGCTCTTGTTATTGTGAACTCTTAAACGTTTTAGTTTTGCTTGTTCTCTAAAAACATATTATGTGAAGTGAAGTGGATAGCGACGAGAGTGAATAACAGTATAATCATAGAAGCACAGAACACGAGATAGAACAACATAAGCTGCCCTCATACGAGATTACTTTCTTTGAACGATCATAAAGCTACAATACTACATAAAAGTAAGCAAAAGTTCAACTTTTATTATTTTAAGACTTCAAGCGCTTGCAAAAACCTTCAGACTTTTCTTCAATGTTATGTCTGTCAATAACGTTGTTATCATTATGCTCTTTTGGTTGCAAATGCAACTCGATAGCATTTCGCTACATGTATGTTTTTAGATTTATCAAATTTTTCGCTATTTGCAGTAATGAATTACCAATTGGAGACAAGAAAGAAATCTATTGTAATTAAATCTTTTAGCCTTCTCTTGCTCATGTGAACTGTTTGCATGTTTATTCTTCTATGCAGAATTAGATCGGAAACTCTCCAGAACATTAGTTTTCACGTCAACTTTGAACGTCATGCGTTTCCTTGATTATTGAAATTTCTCGCCATCTATGGCACTTTTCAAAAGTGCAACGATGCCATGCTTGTGCTTTTCATGTGAAAACGATGGTACCTTTTTCTTGGTTCTAGAAAACGGATTAAAATGACAGCAAACATCGCGGAAAGTGTTTTCTCTCTACGTAAACAGCCGCTATACTTACTACTACGCAAAATTTGAGCTCTTTACTCTTAAATCAGCAAAGTTCATAACTCTTTGAATTAAGCTTTCTCGTTCTACGTAAGCAAATTTAGCTGATTTCAGCTGGTCTCAAGTGCTAAGCCATTATTCCTCTTTATTCCAATCCGCTAAGGAGCGAACGCCTGTTTACCGGAACTAATATTAGGACAACTATTCTAGAAGGCATCTGTCGCTTTATACAAATTGTTAATGTGATGACTTCTGCTTCGTATTTCTATACGGAGTCAGACCTGAACTTTTCGCAACCCTAATTTGACTGTAGAGCTTAATCAAATCATCTTTTTGGATCAGCTTTTTCTCGTTTCCTTTATTTCGCTCTTGTATTCATCTCTGGCCTCTTCGACTTTTGCGTTCTCCTTCGCAAATTTGTCATTGCTCAGCTTCTCGCTGAATACCTATAGTTTTTTACTTGTTATACACGTTCGTGTGACTTTATATAGTCTAGTTAATAACTAACATGATTCGCACTTTCACATTTCGTGATCAAAAGGAACCCTACTCAACTTTTCTTCATTTTCAATCTATTCAACTATTCTTGCTTTGAAAGGGGAAGAAGAATCGAAATCTAATGAACATATAGGTATGCCATTTCATTCTTATGTCGAAAGAACTGTCGAGACTGCCACATTTGGTTCTCTGAGCTATAGAATCTATTGCCATCTGAAGATTGAACGACGCTTGAATTCTTTGCAAAGTGATATACTAGGCATAGATAAAGTAGCGATCAGATTGTCTCGGTTTTTTCTACTGGTTGTATTTTGAGCGATCCAGCGCTGATTCAGCCCTAAAAACTTGTAAGTTTTACGCCTTCTTTGAGTATGCATGGTAATGAGTAATGCTCTTCCGATGAGTTATCTGTTCAGATATTCCCAAAAAATGCACTTGTTGTATTGTAGTCACGCCGCACAGCATGCTGCCCTTGCTTAGAAAACTGCCCCTAAACCCGTTACGCGCAAACCATTTTAATACGCGCGGACGAGCTTGCGATTCTCGCTGACCCAACAGAGAAGGCATGCCGCAATGTTACAGTGCGAGGATCCCGCAACGATTTTGCCTCTCTAACCATGGCGGAACGTGCTCCACTCGTCCAAATTCAAAATGGGAGGTCATGGAAAATGGTGGCTTTTGCCATTTTCGCGCTCTTCAGGTGGATTTTCGGAATTAGCGCCTCGATTTACCCCAGGTAAGCAAAAAAAAATTTCCAAGTCGAGAATCTGCCGATCCGCTGCCTTTAGGCAGTGTCGCGGCAGATTCGCGCTTTATTGTGATATAGCCGTGGTGGGATTGCTGGTTATGCCACCAACCTCCAGCCCCAGTCCCGCTGGTTGATGTTCCCCCGCTCCGAGTAAATAGGCCTCGAGCAGGCGCGCAACCCCAACCGACGCGTTCGGACGGCTTTGCTTGCCTGCTCGACGCGGGACCCCACGATCGCTCCCGCATTGTGCACGCTATCCAAAGCAAAAATTATGGCGGCGGGGTCTTTGTGTGGCCCACCAACTCATCAAAACTCTCGTCCGAGCTGCATTTTAATTGGGTAACCACAAAATCTGTCTCCTCACCCCATTCAAAGCTCACATTCGGGTTCTACGTGGAAATGCAAAATCTGCCGGGACACTGCCTTTATCTAGCTACCGCGCGGATCCGCACGGAAGGCTATCATTGCACGGTGTGCCGGGTGTTATCACAATATTCTAAGTATTTTCATTTTCTGTCCCGGGTCCTTCACACTTGACCAGGGGGTCGGCTTAAATATAGAATGAGATTCTCTGAAATTCGCCGTTTGCCTGGTACTGACTTTGACTGAGAATAAAAAGTCCCAATTTACTTGAGTGCACAGGTGCTATCTGGGAACACTGCGAGACATTTACTTTCACAATAACAATAACGCATTAGCATACGCAAACAACCGTTCCGACGTAAAAGAAATCTTTTTACACTGTATTTACGTCTGTATACTTACTTCGTTATTATTGCAGTAATGAAGAGGTCAAGCTAGCATTAAAAGCTTTGAATATGAATGTCGTCCCTGTCATCCAATCATGAGTAATTTGTCATTAATTGATTGCGAAATTCAAGGCCCTCGGGCAAATTCAAAGGCAGTCCATAAAAAAGAAAATATGGTGATGTCATGTGTTGTTGTTGAATTGAGTCAAACATCTCGCATAAAAACATAGCTCACAGCAAATCGAACACAAAACTTGGAAAGGCAGGAAACATTATATGAGAACAGAGTTAAATGGGAGGGATGTAATTAGACATTAGTTAACAGGGCTAAAATAGTAA